TGTGTGTGTGTGTGTGTGTGTGTGTGTGTGTGTGTGGTTTGATCACACAGATCAGATTATTAAGTCGTGAATCTCGCTTATCTTTTCACATGGAGGCCATTTTGCCTCTGCCGCTACCTCGCTCCGAGACACAGAGGCGYATTTCAACTCCCCCTCCTCGCCTTTTCATTCAGAAATCACATCGATGTAGTCAGAAGACATCTGAGTCCTAGACTGAAGTGTTTTGTGAACGACAAAAAAAATGTCAAAAAGCTTCAAAGCTTCAGAGAAAGCAACCACTAATGCAGTGTCCATAAACAGCCAAAACATAACGACGCTACACAAACAGGGCCTATTAGGGGTGAAAATTTTTTAAACACACATTTTCCACAAAGATGTTTTGGTGGTTAGACTTTGGTCTTAGCACCCTTCAGACTGGCCTTTAGCTCTATTCTCAAAGTTGAACAGCCGGGTACTTTGTCACGTGACCATGCTGTAGACGGAGGCTGACATATTATTGGTTTAGGGGAAAATAGGAGGAGTTCCTCTCTGTGGAAAACAGGAAAAATGGTGAAAAGTTGCAGTAGGACTGCACTACTCACGTAAAAAAAAAAAAAACATCCAGAGGTAAAATATTTATCTTTTTCTAACTGCAAGAGTGAGGGGAGAGAAATAAGACATGTGTTGTCGTTCTGCCTCTGCAGACCTCCGTGCCTCTCCTTGTTTAAAAAGAATTGCCTCGTTGTTTTGATTCAAAAACACACTTAAATTGGCTAAAATGCTGAGTAAAGACTCAAAACTACACAAAAACTACAAAATCCAAATGTTAAAAGTCACAGATCTAATTAATAAAGTCCTGCTCTTCATTGCCGCCAATCTCCATTCAAATTACGCCTCTTTTTATTTTCTTCTTCCTGTAGATTTTTTACTGCTTGTCAGATAACTTTGAGCCTCAGTCAAAAAGRAGGTCTGGGGGGTTATATTTTTTCRGTTTAGGAGAAAGATGAGACTGATGACKGACAGCTGTGTTTTTTCCACATGATTACTGTGTTTCCTGCTTACTTCAGCTGTAAAGCTCTGCAAAACAGAGTGTTCATTTAAAAAAATGGTAAGATATGCTTTTTATTGTAACTCTGGTTTTCTTCTCTTGACCTATCGACACAATTTAAAAACTGCTGTATAGTTTGAAGTCTCTACTTTTGACACAGTTTGTAAAGGAGTCTCACAATGAGTCCACCCCCCCCCACCATAAAAAATGAAGGTTGAAATCACGACTGAATGACATCACGCCGACTTCGAGAATGAATGGTCAGAGTTAAATTCTATTTCTCCACACTGTAGGATCCTGCAAAACGCTATCTACAACAGGTAAGATATTGTTTATTCATAACCCTTCCACAGAACCCCACTTTAAATCTCTAACTTATCCCTTTCATTAATCAAATAGAGCAAAAATGCTCTTTTTGACMCCCCCCCCCCACCACCCTACCCCCGTCCACATCAGATCAACAAACACAACAGTCCTGCCCACCTCCTTCCACCCCACAGGAAGTCGAAGGACACAAAAGACAAAACGAGGTGACGGGGGCGGGGCCGGTGACACACACACATATGTCACCGCAACCATCTTTCATCTTGTCTGAGGCGGGGGATCTGATGAGATAATGAATGAGCCTCTCATCAGAGGGATCATCAGCGTCGACGTTTGTTGTTGCTGATGATGTCAGCTTTTATCATTAGGGTTTGATAAAAACTTCAGGGTTTCTGCACGAAGCTTCAAGAGTTGTTTTGTGTAAAACGAGGAGTACCTTTTTTTTCTCAYGCCACACTACAGGTCCCAGACAATTTATTTATTTATTTTGGGTAGGGGGGCTGTTTTGTGGGCCAAACACCTTTCACAGTTATCTCTGTTCAGCCTCCTCTGTAGTGCGTGGAGAAAAAAAGACACAAGGCCGGAGCTTGACTGACCCCTGAAAGCTCTTTGGTTGTCACACTTTTCCCAAACGCCTTGCAGCTGCTTCTTTTGTGGCCTCAGCAAGCAGTGGGGGGGTGGGGTGGGGTTTGGGCAGGGGGGTCCTTGCTGCTGATTCTTTGCACCTCCTGCTGTTGTCCTGGCCTCGGATGGGAGCGTGGCCCGAACAATGGCCCGGGCCGTGACATCACGCCTCTTGTTTTGGTCCGATCCTGCCACAGATACAGAACAGGATTCCAGCACAGGAACCGAAACAAAAACAAACGGAAAAAAAGGTTAGCGGTAGTTATATTTCTGTGGCGTGGTTTTGTTGTTTTCTTTTTGCAAGCATGAAAAAAATACTTCCATCGTGTTTATGTGATATGGAAGATAGCTGTTTTTGATGGTGACCAGTAAAAAGATGTTTGTTCAGGGTTTTTGTTGTTTTTGTAGCATTTTTTCACTCAGCCTCTAAAGGTTCTGCCTGTTTGTTTGTCTGCAGTGTTAGCAAAATATCTTCTGAACTACTGGATGGATTTTAGTAAAACTCCCAAAAGAGTCTAGACATTTAACTTTAAAAGAACTGATAAAAACTGTTATTAGTCTTTTTGTTTTTGACCAAACATATACTTTAGAATTTGGTCAGACATGTGAACTGACCTTTTTTTTTATAATCACTTGAAGCTCCCCAAAATCTACATCATTTACAATAAATACCATCACAAAAAAAGAAAAGTATTCAGACGAGTTTAAAAAAACTCAAATGAGATTTATTCACACGTATAAAAAAGGGCATTTCAACAAACATTTGTAAAAATAGATACCATAAAGAAATATATTACTTTAGTTAATAAATATGTCAAAACGCAGTCATAAAAAGACACCTTCGCCCCGTCTTTAGTAGTTCTTTTGGGGGGGGGATCCTGCCGCAGCACATAGTACAGAAAAAAAAACAACATGAGGTATTTTAACGTTGGCTCACCCAACATGTCAGGATCGTCAGTTATGTCTTGGAAGACAAAAAATAAAAGAAAAAAAACAACTTTGGATTCTAACTTGAAACCTCCTGAACTCTTTATCCAAGCAGGAAGCTTTAAGACACGTCTACTGATAAAAAAAAAGGGGTACATTCATATAGTGAGGGACTCCCACGTTCTATCTGATTCACGCTGCTCTCTTGGCACGTGTTGAAACCAAAAWAAAAAAAAAACAAGATCTGAGAGGTTCAATAACCATTCCTGAGATAACTGTTAGCCCTCTCCATTGTGTTTTAAATGATTGTGATTATCTAAAGCCTTCATTAAATTACAACAAACAATCAGTCACTTAAAGAATCAGACCATTTCCTAAACAGGACCGTCTCCTCTGGAGTCCTTCAAGGCTGGCCTTGGAGAGGACTTTCACATTAAGGAAGTTAAGCATCAATACTGTCTGACAGTAGATATCAAATCTCCTTTTGAAATGATCTACTGGGCCTCGCGCGACACCACTCCATCCGTCCAGTGATACCAGCATCACCACGACGAGACAAACCATGATCTCATCATTTTGTGAAATGCTCGGAGCGGAGTCCGCTTTTCGGTCGAAGCAAAGTCCGTTCCCCTTCCKTCCCTCAGCAGCTGGGAGAGGTCGTGATGGGGCTGTGCAGGAAGGAGCGCTGGGTGGCGGAGGTGTGCACGGGGATGGAGACGGGGAAGTTGAAGACGGAGCCRCCGCCGCCGCCCCCGCCGCCGAGGGCCGGGCTGCCCGCCTCCGAGGAGCACGTGGACGAGGCCAGGACCTGGGACTCGAACTGCAGGAGCTGGCCCATGAAGCTGAAGTTGGGCGAGATGATGCTGCGGCGCTGCTTGACGAACTCGAAGGCCTCGTCCAGCTTCACGCGGTTGGCCCGCATCAGGTAGGCGAGGCAGATGGTGGCGGAGCGCGAGATGCCCGCCTGGCAGTGCACGAACACGCGGCCTCCTTTGCTTTTCACGGAGTCTGGGGGGGGAGAGGAGAGGAGGGTTAGAGCGGCGTAAACACACACACATACACACACACATACACACACCAAACAGACAACAAACACAAAGGTTTTAGCAACTCTTTCAGGTTTCTTTAAATACGCTCAATAAGACAGGAACACAGTTAAGGGCTGTGCAGGGTGCGAGCCTGTGGGGGGTTTATTCCCTAAGGAGGAGTAATGAATGGACAAAAGGGGGGGGGGGGGAACAGACCCCTGCTGGGGGGTATTAAAGTGACAGGAAGGGTGACAGTGAGTGAAGGGAAATCACTCTTTTGTTTGACCAGAACAAAAACTTGTAAAGTAGGGTGGGGGTGGGGGCATTCAGGCACAGCCAGCCTATCCACTACAGAATGAGTTCAGCGCTGCCTCGCAATTCATTAATAAAAAAAAAGGGACATCCCTTTTCTTTTACGCCTCCGAGGCGGCGCTGACGTAACCGCCATTGTCCCGGAGAGGGGGGAGGCTGTGTGGAGCCAGCTGGTTGGGTTTTGGTGGGAACTTCTTAAAAATTTAAATCTTGGCAGTCAAAGAAAGACACGATGGGAAAAAGAGGGAGGGGTGGGTTTGTTTTTTTTTTTTTTTTGTTGAGCGTGAGCCGCAACGGGCGCCAAACTTGAGGGATTAACTGACCGATGAACTCGATCGCCTCGTTGAACCAGGAGCTGATGTCCGCTTTGTGGTTGTCCTCGACGGGGATGCTCTTGTAGAGGAAGGAGTCCTCGAAGTGGTTGGGGCAGTTGGCCGAGACGTTGATGAGGGCCGTAATCCCCAGCATGTCCAGCATGTCCTTCCTGGACGCGTGGTAGGCACTGCCGAGGTACAGGAACGGCAAGATCTCCACAGGGCCTCCCTGAACGAAAAACAAACAACTTGGTCAACACGGCACAGTGGGAAGTGAACGCACAAAGCAAGAGTATACTGTGTGGTATAAATAGCAATAAAACTAGCCTACAAACCTGGTCATAAAGAGGAGTGTTACACGGACTGCTGCTTGGGTCAGCACTGTCAGGATGCCTGGAGCTTAGGGATAAACTAAGCCCTTGTGGAGGGGAAGGTTTGGTACACATCTCTGGATGAGCTGATGCAAAACTGTCAAACCCACCTGGAAAAACACAGAGAAAATAAAATATATCCAGATCAGATTACAGGTCTAAAGGTTTGTTTACAACAGGAGCAGCTGGGTGACAGCTGCAACCCGCATTTATTACCCAGCTGTTAGGATATAATTAACAAATAAAACCTGCATTTCTTCTCACCTTTAAGGATAAACACACTGGCCCCACACAGGTGGCGACACAGGGCCGTGACAGCCAGCATCAACGTGGCGTCCTTCTTCACCTGGCTGAAGTCCGAGCTCCGGTCGTCGAGAAGCACCACCGCCTGGTACTCCCCGGACAGCAGCCGGTTCCGGGTGTCCTCGTTGGGCACGATGTGCTCGAGTCCCAGGCCGCCCCTGGCTCTCCGGCGAACTATGGTGCTGAARCGCACGTTGGTGGAGCCCGAAATGTGCGACGAGTTGAAGGAGAGGAAGGAGCGGCAGTCCAGCACCAGGCAGCCCGGGACGTCGCCCTCCAACAGGCCGCGGAGGGACGCACAGTCGATAGTGGGAACCTCCATGACGACCATAGTAGTACAGCGGGATACACGTGTCAAATCCAAATACATAAAAGACTCACCGGTGAGAGAGCACACCAGTTTCAACTATTAGCGAGTGTGCGGCGCGCGAATCCTTTGTTCCGGTTAGCTTCAAGAGGAAAATAAAACTCACAAAAAAAAAATAAACAGAAAAGTTTCAAGCCTATCTAAAAAAGGTACTTTCTTCGCTTCAAAGTTTCCGGTAACAATAATCCTTTTCCAAAGTAAACAAAAACAACTTCACAGMGAGGTTTAACGTCTGACTGACTAACAGCGCTTTAAGAGACTTTATATACTGCGAGGTCTGCGCTGAGCCGGAGCCGACTGACGTCAGAGCTCCGCCCCCCTTGGCTTCCTGCCAAACCCGCGGACGTCATCCATCCTGACTGCTGCTCGAGCGCAGCGGGGCAATGAACTAGGGCACGGCACGCGCACATTGCTGCTTCAACGTATTGCACGTACGCGGGCACGCGGTGGTGTTGATATGCTGCTAGGTGATTTCTTTCTTTCTTTCTTTCTTTCTTTCTTTCTTTCTTTCTTTCTTTCTTTCTTTCTTTCTTTCTTTCTTTCTTTCTTTCTTTCTTTCTTTCTTTC